CTGGCATGTGGTGCTGGGGGATTGAACTGCGGTCCCTGTGCTTTGCCAAGCTTGTTCCAAGTAGGTGCTTTAGACCACTGAGCCATCTCTCCAGCCCCATGCTGAAGGATTTTAAGTGACAGGTTAAGAAATGGTAACCGTCATCTGCATACCAGGCTCCAATTCTCCTACACTGTCCCAAGGAGAGCATACCACCAAAGGGAAAGCTGGAGACATCAGCAGACAGCGCTAGGTACCTTCAGCGTTCTCACTCCTGTGTTCACTCACTTCATTGGACAGTGCGTGGGGCACGCTTCTGTGCTAGCCCTGGCTGCTGATGGCTGTTCTGACTGGAAATGACACGCTGCCCAGACACTGTGGGGCTGCAGTAGTTTCACAAAGCCCCTGTGAAGCCTGTGTCAAGTGACAGATGACGCCAGCTGCCCATCCAGGGCAACAGGAGGAAAGTCAGGGAAGCTGAGTTGGCAGCCTCAAAGGGCCTGTTGACTTTATCTGAAATCTTTTTTGGGGGGGCCGACAGCAGTACTATATATAAATTTGTATATACCATTGTCTGATTTTCTAGAAAAACCAAAGGAATTGCTTCTCTCTGGCCTAAGAAGCCATGATATTAAACACACTAGTAATTTAAACTCTCTGGAGATGCTGTGGATAGGACAAATTCTCTCGACTGTCTTCATCAGCAGTGGGAGTCATCACCTCTCCTTCCCACACTCTTCACTGTAAGGAGTCAGGACTGGCAGCAGGCCAGGGATTTAGGATTCATTCACAGAGGTCCAGGGGTTCTGGGAGGCACCAGGCGGTGGGGACCTGCCCCAGGCCACACAGCTCATGAGGGGGCAGGCTCTGGAGCCAGGTTACCTGACCCTGGTAATTTAACCTCCTCCAGTCTGTTTAGTGACATATAAAACGACTAGAATGGGAGAATCTACCTGAGAAAATGAAAAGGATTACATGGTTTAATAGACATGTTTGGAACAGCCCCTGGTGTCCAATCAACCAGTCCCTCTTAAGTTATAAGAAATAACTGCCTGAACAAACACCAGCCAATTCCACTGCTATGCTTTGCATGGCAAAAATAGGCTCCACCATTTCCTCTCACTCACTCACTCACTCACAGCTTTCCTATTTTTTTGCCTAAATTTCCATTTGTTCTTTTCCACCAGTTTCCTGGTGGTCCCCAAACAGGGAGGACTGTTAAGAACTGTTGAAAAGGCCACGCATGGTAGCACATGCCTGTAATTCCTGCATGTGGTAGTCTGAGGCAGGAGGATTGCTTGGAGTTCAAGGGTGGCCTGGGCTACATAGTGAGATCTTGTCTCAAAAAAATAAAAATTAAATAAATGGAAAACAAAACAATGCTGGAGAGACAGCTGTGGTGGCACAGGACTATGATTTCAGCTACTTGAGGCAGGAGGAACACAGGTTGAAAGATGCCTGGGCATCTTAGTGAGACTGTTTCAGAGTAAAAATTAAAAGGACTCCCATCCAAGACTGGCAATTTAGCAAGACCCTGTCTCAAAAAGGCTGGGACATAGCTCAGTGAAAAGGCCCTGGGTTCAATGGGGGGGGAGAGGGAGGGTGGGAGAGAGAGAGAAGGAGAGGGAGGGAGGGAGGGAGGGAGGGAGAGAGAACACTAGGAAGTAGTTTAGCACTTTCTGGGTTCAATACCCAGTATTGCCAAAACAACATACTGGAAGCCTGGTATGGTGGCACATACCTGTAATCCCAAGAGGATTACAAGGATAGGGTCCATCTTGGGTAACTCAGTAATTTAGCAAGTCTATCTCAAATATAAAAAATGAAAAAGCCTAGGGATGTGGTAGGGCATTCTGCATACCCCTACCTAGGGATTCTTCAGTGACAGAGCACTGTAGAGACCAAAACTAAAAACCCCAAATGAAAATCCATTAGACCACAAAACAGGGTCTTGCTACACAGCTCACACTTGTAGTGATCCTCGTGTCTCAGCTTCCCCAGCACTGGGATTACACATTT